ATAGCTCATGGCTTCACTGAGTTACTCAAGCCCCTTCGCCACGACAAGGCAGTGATCCATGGAGGGATTATAAAGTGTAAAATCCTTTAAAAGAAGAATCTAAACAACAGTGACATAACACCTAAAAGCAGGAGTATCAAATTTAAAAAAAACTCTTCTAAATGGCTTTGGTAGTCAGAGGTAGGATCTGATGGTAGGTAAGGACAAAGGATCTGGGGGTAGACCTCTCTGCGCTCCAAGGCAAACCTACCAGATGCCTCCCACCCCCAGTGGTGAGAGAGATCTGGCTTTGAGCCCCCAGTGACTCTGGCTATCGAAGGCAGGCAGGAGAAAGGGAGGTGGGGGGTCATGTAGTCACTTCTTCCTATACCACCACACATCTCTCAAAGTATATCTTCCCTGCAGAGGTGTCTGCAGGGTATGGTCGAAAAAGTCAAGGTGGCTTTGTGATCAAAGCTTTGCCTGTTTTTTATGCCCTTACCCTTGTGGTCCCTGCTTCCTCAACAGAGGAGGAAGAGGAGGTTGCTGCTGACTGACTTGGGAGCAGGGGCAGAGATGGATGGCTGACTGAGGAGCACCAGCAGCAACTTGCTCTCTCCATGTCCATGCAGCTCCTCCCGGGGGCCTGTGTGATCGCTTTTGCTGAAGGAGTGGGGCAAAGGGCAGCCTGGTGCTTCATGTCCCTCTGGGCCCCAAGGTAGCCACCTCTCCTGCCTTCACTTTGTATACATCCTTGCCCCAGAGGGATTGTTCAGTGGTTTGGTACCACCATATAAAAGGCCCTGTTCTGCAGTTGCTATGTCTAGTTTTATCTACTGAAGAGGCACATGAGAAAGTTTCTCTTCAAATAACCTGAGATAATAGGGAGATTCATATTGTATATAAATATTGGGATTCACCATATTGGGATTTGGAGGGAGAATTTAAAGAACTTTGTTTTGACCCATTAAATAACCTAGACTGAATTGGAGATGGAATCCTAAATATGCTTTCCATTGCTTTGTGTGTTAATAGCATCTTAAAGATAATACTTACTATTGCCTTTGCTCTGTTTACTAAACAACAAACAAATTACTCAAATCTGTCTCTTCCTGGTGCCCCAGTAAATTCTGCATAAAGGCAACATTTGAAGGTCCATCCTCGTGAAGGCTAGGTTAGCCCTCAAGACAGCATATTTTCCCAGATCTGGTGACTTCTGGATGCATTTAGGCTACAGTTTCCAGAAAATGTAGATAGTATGTTACCTGGGAATTATGGGAGGTACAGTTCTAACACATCTGGAAGGAGACAGGTTTGAGAAGACAGCTATAAAGTATTTCCTGTTCCAATCAATTTTATGTGAGCATAAAGCAGCCTTCTCCATTTGCAATGCTGGCTGCAAATTCTGGGAGTTGTACTCTGAATACATCTGGTGGGCAGCAGAGAATCTTAAAGACAAATTTCTAGCTCTGTAACAAAATGCAACTTCTTTATGGTATCCCTAGCTTTTCTGGGTAGTGAAGAGTTAATATTATTTTTTAAACAATGAACAGATGTTAATGTCATTATGCTGGATTTTTAACAACAAACACATTTCTTTTTCCGGCAGAATACCAATGGTTTTGTGAAGCTTTTGACAAATAAGTGTTGTTTTCTGAGAAGTGATATATTAGAGGGGGAAAAAGAAGTGGATGGGGGACCTGGTGTCTTTGAAATTAGGCAATCATTTATAAAAACTGTCTTCTCCAAATTTTCACTCTAAGTTTCTATAGTGCTGGAAAAATTAAACTGCTTTATTAGAAGAATGAAGTAATCAAACAAGGTTTTGTTTTAAAAACACAGTGTTTCGTTTTAAAAAGATAGTTATCTGGTAAGTCACAATATTTGAGACCACTCATTTCAGATATCACTCTGTGATGCATTTGTACCTTTCTTTGTCCTGTTTAGGGCTTGAATTGTCCTTTGGGTATGAAACATGCAGCTGCATTGTGAAGATGTGCACCAAATATTATTTCCATTTCTTATAAGGAGAAATTATGTGAAAGACAGAGTCAATTTATTAATTTATTTTATAATGTGTGATTCCGTGGGATGATACTGATCATGGTACTCTTTTGGGCCACCTACATGGGTCGGGGATTGGAGGCACAGTTTTGCAGTGATGCAGCACCTTCCTAAATGGGCAGCTCCAGTTAGTATTACTGTGGGGAGAGGTTGAGCCCTCGAATACTCCATGGTAGGGCACTCTCCCCCATTCCTCTCAATATCTATATGATACCTTTGTGGAAGATCGTATGTCAATCTGGAGGTCAGGAATCATCAATATGCTGATGTACCAGCTTTACAACTGTACCCAAAACCAGGCTGGAAATGTGGTGGAAGTCTTGGCCTGGTGCTTGCAAGCTGTGAGGGAATGGATGAGGTAGAACAACTCAGACTAAAGGCTAGCAAGGCAAAATTGCTGTTGGTACAGAGACCTTCTGGATCCATAAATGTCCCATTAATTGCTCTTGATGGGGTGGTGTTGCTTCTGAAGGAGCAGAGAGCAATCTAGAGGTTCTCCTGCTTTGCTTGGTTTACCAGGCATGGTTCTTTGTGGACAAGGAGGAGGTGAAAACAGTGGCTTATGCCCTTGTCATCTTGTTAGATTATTGCAATTGGCTCTATGTGTGCCTTTCCACTTCCAAGAAATCAAGGGGGCAGGGGTTTGTAAGATAGCCTTCTTAATAGCAATTCCTTCACTTTGGAATACTCTGTGCCCCTTGAGGTCAGAATGGTCAAAACTATCCTCCTTTGTAGGGCTTTCAGAATGAAGGGTCCTCTGTAGCGGACAGCAGTCTATGTAGATGTGATCCTTTTAAACTTGATTTTATCAGATGCATTGTGTTTTATCTCCTTTGGGAGCATCACCCATATGACTCGATTCAATGCAGGTAGGTATCTCTATGCATTTGTGAGATCAGGAGTATGTAACACAACTGATAGGGTCAGGAGACATGTCTCACTTGCATTTCTCAATCTTTTGACTTCACAATTTCCTATTTTATTTTTTTTTAAGAATCTTGATCACGTAGATTGATGTGTTCCATTGATGTAACCACTCTGGTCCATGAAAGAGATGCTGAAAATAATCCATTAATCTTTAAAGTGCTTGTTTGCTCTTCAGACAGCCTCTTGCTCTGAAATATAGTCCTCGCTGCATATGCTGCCTTACCTGGAATGTGTCTCTTGCTGCAAGCGGCTATTTGTATTTGTAGGTAAACAAACACCTTTGTATCGAGTTTCACATTGCAGCTACTTGGTCCTCACTGCAATGAAACCGAACTGAATCAAACCTAAATGCAGCATGGTATCTGCTTACTTGTGACATCATGACAAAGTAGAGGAAAAACCTTGTCTGGTCTGTCTCTGTGCTTGCAGAGAATGGGCTTCAGTATTGCAAATGGGGCTCTATTCGAGAGAATACAGTAAAGGTAGTGTGGGGTGGAGTGGGAGTTTGGGATCATATGATCTTACTGCTAAGGGTCTATGTGGGAGGAGGAGGAGGAGGAGGAGTATTCAGGACAGGGAGGCAGTGGATGGAAGACACCATTGGGGCTGCCCTAGAATCCACCAAAGGATCACTCCAGAGGAGTTTGCAGGCAGGGTGGAGGGAACAAAATTGGCCAATTTCTTCTCCAGCTGCCTGAAGGCAAAAGAAATATTTCTGCTGCCTCATTCAGTTCTCTAACCTACTTCAGCTGCTCCTCTCTCTCGGAAGCTGTCAACGAGCAGGGAGGCTCTACTCATTCCTCTATTCCAGGCATGATCAGCGGAGCGTTTTGCAGGACAAATTTATCAGGTCTTTCAAAGTGAGTTTCTGATTTATTTTGAAGGTGGTATTGGTGCTGTGGGGTGTGTGTATGGCTTCAAACTCTTCAGGCTGTGGGGTTTCTTTTTTAAAGCTGGAAGTTGGCTTTGATGAGCGGAATAGGTTGCAACATGTCAAAGGCTCATGCACAAATGCTACAGTTTTATCTGACGTTCCTCCTCGCGATGCTTTGTTGTAAAAGTAACCATAACTTTTAATGCTACAAGAGCATTTCACTGTAATAGAATAGGCAGGATTCTTTTTAAGAAATTCCTTGGCTGCTTACTTGATGCAGTGCAGTTCAGAAGTTGCTTTCATCAGTGTGAAATTTGGATGTTGCTTAACCTCTAGGTAAATAATGGAACAAATTTTAAACCAAACAGCAGAACTGCAATAACTGATGATATATTGATCAAAGAACTACATTTTCTTGGCTTCACCACCCCTTAAATACCTTCAGGGCAGAAATTGCAACTCTACCTCTGTTCTCTTTGAAGTACTCTAAAATTATTTCTGTCTTTCGTAAAATGATGGAAAAGGGCTTTCAATTAGATTCTAAGCAGAGGTTGCTGAATCTACAATATGATTCTAGTTGGGGATGAGTTAAAACTGCTTGTGGTTGCTGTTGTTGTCATTGTTGAATGAAACATAACTGTTTGCAAAGAGAAGCTATAAAACAGTTGTCATGATTTGCCTTAAACATACAGAAATAATATAATCCATATACAAAAGTATCCAAACATATCTCTTTCGGGTTTTTTTAAACCTCTGGATTGTATGGCATGATTCATAATGTGAGAATGTGCAAGAAGACAAAATGTGCATAGGCCAAAGATTTCCTCAAACAAAGGACGTGACTGTAAGACTGCATTAACTAAATCTGGATAAATAAATCTGCAGTCTGTATAATCCCCAATTAAATTAGTTGAGGGTAAGATAATCACTGTTACCTAACTGTCAGGTACTCATTTGGATTGATAACGTTAACCTGATTTAACTTGGCTGCTGAATTCTCTGATTCAGTTTGCACATTTTCAGCTACCAAACCCCCACCTCACCCTTCCCTCTTTCAGAAAGTTCACTCATCTGCTCGTAGTAGAAGGTGGAATATTCTTAGTATGTGACTTGAGGAGATTCAGATGACTGACTCAGTCACCCAAAATGCCTAACATGAATTAATAAAACTCAGTTGCTGTGCTCACATAATATACTATGTCTAAGTAAATTATATTGTGACTAAATGTGAATGCTTGGTTCACCTAAATCTAAGGATGTGGCTGAGTTTCCCCCATCAATTACAAACTACCCAACCTCATTTTAGACTGGTGTAGCTTATTGTGTGGACTCAGTCAATATTTCCAAGCATCTGTTGCCACTGAGAGGTAAACCCAGATAAGTTAGCACGAAACCTGTGTTCGCACATCCAGCTAAATCCGTTTACAGGCTTCATCCATTTTCTGAATGGTTCTTCTTGCTTCTTTTTTCTGCATTAAAAAAGTGAAGTAAGAAGGGCTTAGAGCTAAGAAGAGCTTAGAGCAGGAGGGGGCAAGATTTTTGCAGTCCAGAGCCATTTTTATTGCTATCTGAGGACAAGAGGAGGTGTGATGGGTGATGTCATGATGCAACTAGGGTGGGTGGGACTAAGCTTTTGGGCAGGAGTTAAGAGATGAAATAGATGCCTTAAGCCTTTGCACCTATTTTGCCTTTAAAGCCACTAAAAATTCGTCTGAACTTTACAAGAGGTCAGTGGATATTAAAGAGTAGAATGGTTGTATATTTCTCAAGGTGCCTACTATGCCCATTGCCCTCCCTCCCTTGGCTTATTCCAAAGCAGGCTGGCAGTTTTAGCTTAGTCCACTCTGGAGGTGCTCTGAAGATGCTCTGGGGTCTGAACAAAAGGTGCTGGGATGTGTATGCATGCAGACTGTATACTAAGGTTCCTCCAGCTTCACTTAAAGTCTCACTGATGTTCATCAACTTAAGAAGCTATTATAAGAACTATGTTGCAGGGTTCTTGAAATAATAAATGAGATAAGAGTGCAGAGAATTTTATCCTTAAGAAGAGATTTTGAAAGGTGGGATAAAATGTAGTATAAATCAAAAGATTAGGGAAAAAAAAACAAGGGTGGGAGAACATGAGAAAAGCATATACAGTGGAACAGTATGGATAAAGAAAAAAGCATTTTTATTTTTTTTACAGAACTAAAGGAAACCTGTGGGTAACCAGTGAACTGGAATGGTGGAACATTTACAAAAGATAAAAAAGGGCTTTAAAAAAAAATTAAAGATAAGAAAGTTTTTTCATACTGTTTGTAACAGAAGTCTGGAATTTGCTATTAAAAGATAGAGTGATGGCAACAACAAATGGGATTATAAAAGTGGTTAGGGCCTTTCCCACTCTAATGAGTTAATGTCCACCCATCCTTGTACTGGCAGAAAACAATATAGGCATGACATTGATTGTTCCCATTGTTGATCTTTGTCCTGCCCAGGGGTGTCCATGGGACGGGGGTTCAAAAAAACTTAAAATGGTGGCCACCGCACTTAATATCAGACTCCACTTGTGATCAAAGCATCACCCTTCTTTGACATGTATCATGACACATGTAAAAAAAGGATAAGGCCTTCACTGCATGGTTGGGCCATCTTGAATTTGGTCCTGCTTCTGTTGCCTCCTTCCGTTCATTGCCAGTCACCTGACTTTCCCCCAAGGTAACAGACCACAAAGCCTAACAGATTTTAGGTTCTTTTAAATTTTTGTTAGATCCATCATTCCCTTTTTATTCAAAGCCACCTAGTGTTATTTTTTTCCCCCTTTCCCCTTCAGAGGCTGGTATCAGGGAATACCAGCTCTTGGGGAGCAATCACTGAAGAGGATTGGCACTTTGATCTTCTTGGCAGCTTCTTGGGGGCATCTGAGTGGCCATTATGGGAGACAAGATAAGATGGACTTTTAATTTGTTTGAAAAAGGTTGTTCTTAAGTTCTTAGTGGTGAGATTTGAGCCAGGCCATATTGATCCATAGCTTGGTCTCTTAAACACAATTTATATTTGTTCTCTTACGATGCATTATGGTTTTATTGTTTATCAGCATTCACATCTATTAAAAATAAAAATGATTTTTTCACCAGGCTGCAATACTAGAGGATTATTCATATATTTCACATACAAAAAAATTGCATATGGATTTTTGTCCTAGTTTTCTATCACAATGAAAATATTTTCTTTGCTTTTCAAATGCCTCTTTTCTCTACTGATGAGTGAACTCTTTCCATTTCATTTTGGGTGTCACCACCTCCCATCTGAGGTACATCTGGAAAAATTGCTTTCTTCTCCATAGCAGTCTTTAGGTAGAATTGAAACACTGAAAGGTGAATCTGCATCTTTGACAGTAACAAGAGACTTGATTTCCTTTGGCTTTGCTGCAATCCAGGGTCTACAGCCCCCTAATTTAAATTCAGGGAAGAAATATCAAGGGAAGGATTTTCTCAACAGGTTATAGTTTTCTTTCAAAAGTAAGTTGGCAGAACTAAGATGGAAATTCTGGGGGTGGCAGTGTTGGCAAGTCTTCTTCCCAACCTCCCAGATGTTCTGGCTGCTAGTACTGGCCTTACCATGGACTTTTAGGTCCATAGCAGCCTGGTTTGTGAACAGTTCCAGGCTGGTTTAAGAGAAGAGTACTTATCTTGTCAAACCAGTAGTTTATTTCAAATTTGGTGCAAGCATGGACTTTCCAGATGTTCAAATGCTGGTTACTCATTTGAACATTTCAGATGGAAAGTATGCTTTTCTTATCTAAACTTACTCATCTAAAAGTCCCAATTAGGTCAACTGTATTTTTTGTGTGTATGGTTTCTGAGCATACTGGAAGTTGTTTATGGTTATTTTTAAATTTTCTGTAAGAGAGACCTCCCTCCCTCATTCACTATCACCCTCTTTTCCTCCCAGATGCTGTTTTCAGTTCCAAGTCCTCACTGTCACATTCAAGTAGTTCCACAAAGATTGTCAACTTGCTGCTGAGTAAATTCCCCAAGCAAAGCCAGTGGTCCTCCGCTGAGAGTTTAAAAAAAAAAAAGGCACTCCAGCCTACAGTCAACTTCTCTGTCCTCACCTTTTCCTTGCAACTTCCTTTCTTTTCATGGTGTTGGAGGGGGGAAACAAACTCAGACCTTTGAGTAGAGGCAGTGTTGGGCTTCAGGGTTTAATGACTGTGGTCTAGAGAACAGATTTCTTGACATTTCACCAGCAAACATGGCTGCTGGCTGGCATCTTCAGAGGCAAAGCGGACTGCTACACAATCCACAAGCAAGGCATCACATGACTGGGTTCCTGTCTTTATAGCCAGGTGTTCTGACTCCTGATTGGCCTTTAGCCAATCCTGGTTTCTGATTGGTGCAGGTTGGTGAGGGCTGGTCCTGGAAAGGCAGAACTTGCCACCAATGGGGAACTGCCTGTTCTGCAGCTCCAGACGTAATGCTGCAAAACTATCTTCACAGCATTTACTCTATAGCACAAGCTCTGCTGGCAGATGATTAGCTCAGTGGCAAAGACCTCCTCAAGACCCACGTGTTGTGGGTTGCAGCGGCATAGCCCTTGAGCATGGGAGACGCAGTTTCTTTGAAGAATGAAATAGCTGAGGATTAATGAACCCTGATATCTCTGGATACATGGCTTGGTTTTGCTACCACATTGTAAGAGGCTGTTGTATATAGTGGTGCAAAATTATCTTAGACTTACAGGTGCTGTATTCCAGCCTTCCCTAATCTCTGCCTTTCAGATGTATTCAATTTCAGCTTCTTTTATTCCTCGCCAGCATGACTGGTAGCCTTACCGGCTAGGAAGTTATGGGTAATTCCAGGTTGGGAAAGGCTACTGTACTGTATGTCTAAAATAAAAGGATTTTAAGTGAAAAAAGAGAATCCAGCCTGATGTTAATCCATCAAGCTGTTACTCTGCAAGTTCCGTGCCATGCCTGCCATTCACAGCATAAGGATTAAATTT